GGCTCTCCCCCACTTCTGCCAGAGAAGCAGACCACTGACAGCACAGCAAGACAACATTTTTGCAGAAGCTGGTTGTCAGCCTCACATTCTCTTCTTTCTAGACATGCAAGTTTGTTTTTTTAAGCTTTTTTTTTSTGTGTGCTATGAGGCATGCATGAATAAAAATGAGTGGTATCAGTTAATTATCACAGCAATTGTGATATCCTTAGGTAGCATCTCAACAATTCAAGGGAAGCGTTTTCCTTTTRGAGACAGAACATGAAGTGAGGGATACGAAAATTGCCTACATAATGCTGCCACGGGGATGCCTCTCAAATCATTTTATCAGCAAAAAAAAAGGAAGCCATGTCTGCTGGTAACAGCTAAAGATCACGTTCTAATTTCAGCAGTTGCAGTTAACTCATTCCCAATGGAGTTGCACTTACCGTGAGAAGGTTTCTAACTGCTTCAGCACTGAAAGGAAACAAGCATTGAGTCATTCAACTGCAGATCTATGTGCAAATATGCTTTTTGGCCCATCAAGGGAAAGCATATAGAATCCGCTGCTATAACRCAGGCAGCCAAACATTTCCACACATTTCTTACAATGCACACGCTGGAGAAAAGGTAATTCATTTACCAACCAGTGTTTGAGCTGTCCCTATACAAGTCTGATCATTGCACATGCACATGCACTCTGTTAGGGGCAGAGCGTGCGGATAGGAAATGCAGGCACACTGCATACCTAGAATTGGTAAGAAAGGTTTTAATCAATAGATATATTCCCCTTGACACCAAATGGTTCAACAGAAATATTATTAATTTACTCAAAGATTATGTTTATATCTTATATAACTCAAGATATCTTTATCTTGATATACTACATTTCTATTAAATTTCTGAAGACCTTAAAATAAACTGCTCAATTTTTTCAAGTATTAACTCCCGTAATAGTCATTCTGTATAAAGAATTTAGTTAGAATACGGTAACTTGCTGTGTTGACCTCTAATTTGGCCTACAATAGTATTCACATCACAGCTAGTCACCCAAAAAACTTCCTTGCAGCAAAGGTGATTTAGTACCACATAATGAATAAAATWCTTTTATAGTTAGGAGACTTTTGGTTGATTTTAAAGCACTTAATGCTAAGAGAATACTAGTAAGTAATATCTAAGGATATTAAAAAGAAATAAGGACATTCTCCTGGTGAGCAGTGATAAACGTGAGGCTCTTTAAAGAGTGATTTTCCAATGAGTTGTGTAAGCAGATTTGCACTTTAGAATAAAATCTTGAGCAAGTTATTTCACATGAGGGAATGAGAATTCCTTTTTCATTCAAAAAGGATATGATAAAAGAAAAATAGAAAAATATTAAATCCAYTAAAGGTCAACATAAAATTATGATGTAATATCACAAGGTAAGTGTTCTCCCTCTGCCACATGGTGTTCTGTCCAGATTAATCCCTGCTATGAGCCTGACTGAACAGAGGCAGGGAAATCCCATGGGACCTGGTCTCACAYGGGCATCAGGGAGGTTTTAGACTGGAAAGTGCAACTTGTCACTAAAGATGAAACAGCAAAAGTGTATTTCCTCTGTAAAAAAAGTGTATTGCCTCTGTGTTTACTGGCAATATTCACTTAGCACGCTGACTGGCATTCAGGAAGGGCATCCACATACAAATACAGCAAAATTCATGGGGATGGTCCCTTCACAGCAATTMTATGCACACATGGACAAACTCTCTCTTCCCCAAAGCAGCTGTGGGCTGCAATGACTGGGGSTCAGCACGATGCTACCGTGCAGCCCAGCCTGGCAGAGGCAATWGGGCTGGCAAGAGAAAAAGGGAAAGACAAATGGGAGTTCTGCTGCCATATTTCCCCAGATATGTAGATACTGATAAACAGGGGAGGAAATGTAGCTACATTTCAAATAGCTACAACTTTAAAAAGAAACAAAAACAAAACTACATACYTCAATAAATGAGGATGTGCATTACAACTGATATAAAACACATTCTTGTTCTACTCTGAAGGCAGATTAGCACCTAAAAATACATTGAACTTCAGATGTAAACGCCAGTCCTCGTGTTTCTGTGATACATCTGCTCACACTAATTTTTAAGGACACCTGCAGGCATTGTTGAACTGTGGCCTGAGTGTAGAGTGAAGGGCACTGCCTCAATATTCTAGACTAACTCCAAGGGATACCCTGGAAAGCTTAAATGATATATTGTTTCCATAATTAGTTTCACTGATCTTAATATTTAGCTTCCTACTCATCTATTGCTGCAAATACCTCAAGTGTTTGCAGCAATTAGATACAGGAGTTAACTATACAGAAATAATGCTGCTGCTTAAGTTCAGAGATGAAAAGAGTGTTTATTTCTTTTAAAAATTCTTCTTAAATGGAGCTATAGTCATAAATACATATATTCACCTTATCTATTGATGAATAATAGCAGTTAGAATGCTCATATGCATCTTTGGTTTGATTAGCATAAAGACTGGTACCTCATCTAGTCCAGAAGAAATGTTATAATTCTTTTTTTTTTTTTTCAGATAATATAAAAAATCTATTATAGTACCTTTTTTAAGTTATATTTCTGTGAAAATTTACTCTCTAGACTCCTGACTTGATGTTTTATAGAAATGTGCATCTTAAACATTAATTCACTAGACAAACAAAAATATTTTAGGACTGAGAAATTAAAATTGTTATGGACTGTTCAAAAAAATGTTTTACTGAAAAACATTTCCCTTTTTGCAGGCTTCAATTACACTGAAAAATATTTTTCCTTTTGCTATAATTAGCATGTGTCTCTCTCATATGTATTTTTAATGAACAAATGCACATGATAAAACAGATTGGATCCTGATAGAGCACAAGAGAAGTTCCCTTAAGGACCAGTTGCGACCTTAAATGGGGTGATTATTTCTTAGCTGAGCGTTCAGAACATGTTCAGAACCTAATGGCTGCTCCCTGGCAGCTCATTCTTATTTGTTACTTTTTTTTTTCTTTTCATTCTGTGTCAGGGCTGGGTAAATTGTGTGCTGCTTTTTCAAACTTCTCCTCCCTAGACATCTCCTCCCACTGCAATTATACTGGTTCAATTCTGTGCTGGTGGTGCTGAGCTGTGTGATCTCCTCTCACAGGACAGGCTGGCTGTCAGGGACTGTTCTCTGCCTCCATCTGCCCTCAAAGACGGAGCATTTAATTGTCTGGGACATCAGGGCATCCCTAGCAGCAGAACCAGGCAGTGCTTTCCACTTGGAGCTCTGAAGGCTGGAGACTTTCACAGCCCAGAGGAGAACAAGCTACACTATCTCTAAATAATCCTGGAGTAAAGGTRAAAGGAATCAAGGAAAAAAATGGAAAGGAGAAGGCACACCTGAGGGAAGGAATCAATGGGGATGGTATGAGGACAGGAAATGTCCATGTTCAGGACAGCCCATGTTCAGGCACCTCCTTGTTTGAGGAGGTTCGGTGAGGTCCAGCTTCCCCGTGCTCTCCATGCCAGGAGGTGTCAAATGCTGCTCTTTAAACTGTTCATTATTTGGAGAAGAGCAGCAGRCACAGATCCTGAGGAGTAAGTCTCTTGTTTGCACCCACCATGGCTGCAGAGCCAGCACAACTCTGCTTGCTCCCTGGCCTGGGAATGGTGTCTGCAGCCCTGGGAGTGGGGAGGGGCATTTCCTCAGATGAGAACAGGCAGGGCTGATACAGATTAGTGATTTGCAAAGCCAGGACTCATCACACTGCACTTCAACCACCTAAAATTTAAACAGCTGGTCTAGGTAAATTGTCTGGGCTGCCTCCAAGATCAGTGGGGAGATCACTGCCAAGGTAAGACTCATCCTTTGACAGGCACTTCTCTATACATAAACTGGAAAAAAATAAATTGAAAATTCCAGAACTTCAAAAGGTAACCAGTCTCCCTTTCAGGATCCAATTGGTATGCATTAGTCTGATATTACTAAGGCCTTTGTATCAAATGGTTCTCAAAATAGTGAATACCATCCATCTGGGCTGGAATCATAAGCCTAAGAGCTCATCAGCTCATCACCCTTTTACCACTCTCTCTGATTCGTTGCATTCCTCATAAAAAWTTAAAATTTAAAAATAAAAAAGGCGCCACAATCAATTATGTTGAAATAACCACCAAATTATCATGTGCTAGCATGTTAAGTTTCCTAGCTGAATCTGCCATTAATGGGATTAAACATGCACATTTTCCTTGGTTATCTCCATATTTACATATGCTCTTTCTCTTTTTTTTATTTACATTTTTCTTTAGCTACCAGCTTTTCTAGGCTTGTGAAATAATCACAGAAGTGAGGAACAGTCTGATGTAACTTGCTGTAATTAAGGAAGATATTAAAGGTTTTTAAATAACAGGCCCAGCAAGCACAGTTTACAAAAACAGACTGTAACTTCTTGTCATAGTCTGAATTAAATCAGGAAAGGGCCAGACAGGGGAAGAAAAGAACAGAACAAAGGAACCTCCAGAAAACTAGTGACTCTTCCATGATATCAAGCTCTCTTGGGAAAAGCAAAAGCTCATTAAATTTTACCAATTAATCTGTAAATGAAAGGCTGAAGATTATCATCTGAATTGCTTTTAAAGGAAATCAACTTCTCTCCTGTAAAAAGATGCTGCCGTCTGTATATTTCACCACTGTACACTATTTTTCAAGTTCTAAAAATTTCAGAGGATAACCTACACTGTAGATGTATTTATATTTTTTTGAATGGTCAGAGGTGCCCTAAACCTCATAGTATATAAACTACAACAAGTGGTAACTTAAAAGTTCTAAACTCTGCCACAGAGAAGCAGCGCTAAGTCTTGTTAATGAAATACTGATAATATTAGCAGATAGAAGATGCAAAGTTTGGCATATGCTTCAACATAACATTGCTCTTTGCTGTGATGCAACTTCAGATAACATCAGRAACTGTTGTTGAAATAGTGGGTCAGTATGCAGTGAAGCCTCATTCCCTGCTAAGGGTTCATTTTCCTTACCTGGTCTCTTCTGTAGCTATAAAGAAGCCGTCATCTGAAGCATCGAGCCAGTTTTGCCTCTGTCTCTTGATCACCGGAATGGTGCTTGCCTTAATGGCGCCTGCAGCGGCTGGCAAGGCCTTCCCGTTGGTCATGTGGATGTGGGGAGCAGCGTGCTGGAATCACAACAAAAGGGAAAGGAATTTGTCTRGGAATAAACATCATTCCATTAACTAACTGTGCTGGAAAGGGCAGCCAACACCTCTCTCAAAACCCAGCCTCAACCAGGACCTGGGGGTAAGAAATCAACCAATCCATGCCCACTGACAYGTTTTATGCATCGGTCTTAAAGCTCTTTAAAAACTAAATTAACTATTGCTAATGCAGTTCTGTGCAAAAAGATATTGAGGCATGACTCARTGCTATGAGCTAAGCAGTTCAGAAACAGAATCTCCTTGATTTTAGGACGGAATTGACTTTTTCTGAGCAAAAAGACTAACATTCCAAGCAATGAGATACAAGACCTACTCTTTCATCCAAGTATGGCATTAAGCTAATTTCAAAAAATTCATACTTCTASCTTGGCAGACCCTTACTCTGCCTTTCTTTTCAAACAGAAAGCTCTGAATGAGAGAATGGTTTGGTCCTGCCACTAGCCTGAATGCAAGCCGGGAAACAAGGTTTGTATCACCGTGCTGGTGCCATGGTTCTTAGGCTTATTCATTAGYAATTATCCAGTTAGAGCTACCCACAATACACCTGCATTCATTTCATAACTGATAACATCAAACAGAAAATGATGCATTCATTTTCCACTAAACCTTTACCTGGGGAAATGGGGCCAATGAGAGCAAGTACTCAGATCTAACATGAGAAGCTGCCTTCTGACACATGAGGAGAAAGTGGAAATGTTTTCTGTATCAATTATAGGTAATGTTTTGGAAGAAYACACCATAGAAAAAATATTAATCTGGGAAATCTAAATCTTGTTTTCCACATAATTGATTAGCAGCAGAACTAACTTGCAACAATTGGATAAAAACAGTTATGACAGAAGAAATTACACAAAGAAGGAAATTTACTTTTTTACTTTATCTCACTTTAAATAAGTAAAGTAAATAAATTTACTTTATCTCACATCGATTCAACACCACGTTTTCTTAGGAAGAAATACTATTTTCTGGTGAAGTAAAACCAGTCTTCCACATTACTGATAGCATTTTTGTAACATTCCTAAAAAGCAGACGGTGCTGCACATTTGTGGAGTACCCCCTAATTTGGGGACCAACACCACAGTCACCAAGCAAGAAAAGGGCTGTAGCACCCACAAAGACCAGGAGAACAGAGCACAGAGCTCATCTCTTAAATCATCTCATAAAAACATAACAGGAAAAGGATATAAACAAGGGCACCTTCTTTTCTGAACAATTCCTACACTTGCATTCAAAACATTATATTTACATTATGACACAACTTTCACCACACCCCAATCCACACCATTTGTTCCTTCCAGTCGGACAAATGTTATGCAATGGACAGAAAATTCCACTATTCATTATGCTACTGCAAGTAACTGAGCCATCTCCTCTGTGACTCCTTAGATCTCATGTAACAAAACTAAATAAGAGGAGAAACAAGACAGCAAATTTGAGTGAGTCACATATAAATCATTCTTAGAGCTAAACTGTTTTCCTTCATCTTAAAAACAAACAACATTTATGGTGAATTTAGTTGTTGGTGCACACAGGGTCACAAATCTATCTTTGTAGTCCTTCTAAATATTTATCTAATTTCTTTTTCTGGGTTTTTTTTTGGTTTTTTTTTTCATTCAGTGTCTAGATTACTGTTTGGATTTCACATATTTTTTTGTACTTGCTTTGGTGAGGACAAAGACCTAAAGGACATGCAACTAGAAGTAATTCAGCTGTTATTTAGAATAAATTAAGGATAAAATAGATGGGTGGGATGAAATTAGAAATTCATGAAGGTATTCAAACTGCTGATCTCTTATTGTACAAAGTGGGTAGTGCTCAAAAAGAGAGCAAGAAGTCATGCATGAAAAACAGTGCCACACATCAGATTCCCCAGATYTGCATGTGGCAATTGCCAGTGCCTTGCATTACAGAGGAACATGCAAGGGCTCCAGTGGTACATAGTTTTGTTGTGCTTCCCTACTCAATAATAGGTTTAAGTTATCTCATATAATGGTTCAGATCTTTTCCCAGGCTCCTTTGTAATACACAGCTGAATGTTTCCTTTAGTCAAGATAAGAGGCACAGGCAAAAAATGTTCAGGAAATGTACAAAGTACAAAACGTGTATTTCCTATGGCATAAACTCTCAAGAAAAGGGAAGCCTGATGGAAAAAGTACTTGTCTTTTCACAATACTTTTTCCCCTGGCAGAGCCAGATATTGGAATTAATTCTGAACTATTKTTTTTTCTACTTTTATTTGCCCCTAACCCTCATTCCAGGCAAGAGATAACATTATGGAAAATGACACAAGGCTTACAATATAATCTCATTTCTGTTGCTTCAAATTGGTTAGAATTTTCTCTTTTATTTGCCTTCTACCCCCAGCCCTTTCAAGCTATTTGAAGGAATTAATTACTTTTCACAYAAGGACAGAAGAAAATAAGATCATTGTTCTACAGTCTGGGCTAGGGACCACATTATCTTTAATTTCAAGTTAATAAAAAACAATTGAAGTTCTTGACCAGGCAAACAGTTCATTAGCTTCTCTCAAAAATATATTCACTAATGTGTGTAAAAATGAGTATTCAATGCCACAGTCACATTATTATCAACACCAAGAGCAAAATGAAATTTTATACGAAGTACTTTGTTAAATGCTTTTTTTTTTTTTTATGATGATGATGATGAATTCAAATTTTCCCCTCCAGCACAGTTATGACAGAAAAGTTATGAAAGCCTCAGGAATACTCCCTGTCTTCCCCAGAAGTCCTTCTCATTTAAAACCCTGCTCGCAGAAAGCTTCAGTAATTTCCTTGTAACAGCACTGAGCTGCTGGTGCTTTGATTTGACTGTGCATCACTGATGAGCTGTGCCCAGCACAGCCACTGGTGCTAAGAATCTGCACTCCAGGGCACATCCAAGCACACCTGAGCATCAGGAGCTGGACCCAGAGCTGGCATGTTGGACAAATCTTCCACCATGCTCAGTGACTCCTTTCTCCCAAGTTCCTCATCTCAGTCTGAGTACATTCAYTGAGATCTCGTGTGCCTCCAGGACAAAACTGTTCCATGTTCAAAAGGTATCAGGAGAAAAACCTTTGAAAGCTCTTGGAACCAAAACCAAGACAAAGGGAGCTCTGATTCAGGCAAAGTTACATCCAGTAAAGAAYGCAAATATTGAAGTCAGCGCTGGGTTGTCTCTGGGAAGTTTTGCCTGCCAAGCAGGYGGTGCCCATGCTGCACACAGAATGCACACCCAGAGACCAAAGGCGATCTTTGCAAGGTTTTCATCAGGGAGGGGTTTACACAAACACTCCTTGTTGTACAGCTTCACCTGGCTCCTACTGATACATTTCTCTGCCGCTTGCAAACGCTGCTCATCAAAACTCGCCTGGCAGGGACACGAGTTTCCCATCTGCATTTGTTTCACAGTGATCAACTGAGACACCTCCAACTTTCAAGAAATGCAGGAGATCCCTTCATGAAAAAGCTCTGTCTTTCTCCCTGTCGAGCCTTCTGGAAGCAGCAGCACTGAGTTTCAGCTGTAAATCAGGTCTTTAAACACAAGATGCACTAGGCACAAGGCTCTGCTGTGGCAGGAAAACCAGGGAATTAAGTGTATAGAATCACTATACACATGATATGTGCTCTAGTGGCAGCTATGAGTCAAATGAAGTCTGGATACCATTCTAATGACACCTTATATTAAAGTGACAGCTTAATATAGAATTTTTATTAACGTGGGTAAATCTCCTGTCCTCACTGGCCCTCAGAAGTATTTCAAGCACAAGGAGATTCATGATGTTAAGTCAAGAGAGGAATGCTGTACAAATTCAGAAATGGCACCCAGATCCCAAATCACCATCGAGGTTCCTGTCTATAAGTTGTTCAATTTGCATTGCTACATAAGCCGAGCATTTATTCATTGAGAGGCACTAAAAAATCTGAAGAGACACTCAGGTCTGGAAAGACATTCAGCTTTGAAATCAATAYGTAACACCCACTGCCATTCAAAGTGTAAAAAAGGGAACGTTTATGCTGTGGCTGAAGGAATGTTTAACTGGACTAYCACAGGTTCCTAAGTGGACTTCAATTTATAATTTCTTACATTTTCCCCCATTGTTTGAAAAAGGAAAACATTTCTATTGCCTTAAATTAACCTTTTAAACTTTTTTTTGTTGCATCTTTAAACCAAAAAAAAAAAAAACAAAACCAAACAATTGAAATCATGCAGAGCAAAAAAGCCTGTCTACAAGRAGGTAATATATTACTGGAAGAAACCAGCTATGCTCATATGACTGGCAATAATCCATATTAATTGGTTCCATATGTTTTTCATTGACCTAATTATACAAGRCATAGTTTAAAACAAGTTTAGAATTACCTTGTTCAAATCAGGTATYGATTCTCTTTAGCCACACCTGAAGTACTCCTATTTCCAAAGGGTTTATTACCATTATTCTATTAATAAGCATCAAGGTTTGGGGCTTTCTACTCACAGAAATGTGAGATGAATGCAAAAATTAATACCCAAAATCTCTACACAGCATGAAGTAGCAAATGTTGATAATAGCATGCAGGCACACAACCATTTTGGGTATAGAATTTAATTTCAAAGCCCAAAGGCTATTAAAAATGAAAGGTTTTYAAGCAACAGATCATATACAAGAAAACAACCAAACAGTCAACATAAGTGTGACTTTGRAACCTCTGGAATTGTTATCAAACCTGGCACAAAACACCTATAATATCTGTAATGCTGAAAATCTAAATCAAAGATTTTTCTGTGCAAGGGAAAAAAAACACACAAAAAAACCCCAAAAGAAACAGTCCTCCTAGAAGATGATAGATGACCCACCAAAGCACCTGGGCTAAAATACTACAATGTTTACAGTCTCTATATGTCATAGGTGGTACACAAAAGCTATATAACCTCTGAAAAAAAACATGTTTTAGAAAGCATCCTTTTGAAGAAAATAGTTATTTATGGAAATCAGTAAATTAGTAATGAGARACTAAGCTAGGCAACTATCCACAGRATAAGAGGAAATTTACTTTATAGTTAAAACAAAGAGCATGGTCTCCCTCTCCTCCCCATCACACGGATGCTTAAAATACTGTCTTTTTTTTTTGTTTTTATGTACAAGAATCTGAAACAAAAAATAGGTATTTAAATACAGAAGAAAAATTCTTGCAATGTTCTCAGAAAAACTGCCCTTTGTTTTCCTTAACAGAGTACACTCTCTATTTCGCTGACTTTAACATAAATGAATCCTCAGAGACAAGATCATAATAATGCTTTACATCATTTCACCACCTATAAACACAACTTTGAAGAAGTTCAAATACTTTACTTTGGTAAGACAAAAGCTTTTTAACATCAAAGCACCCAAGACACAAATTTGCTGTGATACCTCTCACACTCTGATGACTAAAGGTCATGCCTTAACTTTTTATCWCTTACAGTATAACCAAAATTAGCCAGAAAAAGAGCACTTCATTTCAGAGCAATTATTTATTGCAGTAGCCATTATACATTGGATCTCAGCAGTATTCCTTTACTACATCCATATTGAATCTATATTCTCATTTCTGTTTCAAGGAATAGCATAKTTTCTGGTTTTACTGACAGTTTCTACCTATTCATTGGGGAGTAAGAAATTTTCTTTTGCACATCCAGTTATACTTTAGTTGCAGAAAAGAGCAGATATTGCTATAGCMATTTCACACTGAGCAGAATACTTATTTTTATTTCTACTTTTATTTAAKTGCAATGAACAATTACTGCACACTGACTGCAGAACATTAGTCTGAGGTCTGAGTCACCTGAGCTGTCAGCAGCAAAGTCTGGACAGGTCCACAACACAGGAACTTCAAGAACTCAAACTGTTTAAAAATGGTACCTGCTCTCTTTAAAAGTTCACACATGTTTTGGTGCAAGGAAAAAAATTTACAGGCAAAACCCCCATTCTTTTGGGTTAGTTTTTAGAACTATTCTGATACATCAATGGATAAGAGAGACTGAGTATCTTCAGAATAAAATCAATAGGACAAAAAAACGTTGTAAATAAAGAGTGAAGGTTTCACCATCTTCAGCATACCTGTCCTGCTTTTTTCCTGACACCAACAGTAATGTAAAATAAATTTTCAATCCCTTTCAAAATTTTATAGCACAGGAATACCCATAAATAACTAAGCATCCTCTTTTGAAATGGGTCTATTTAAAACAAATTCATGACAAACAAGGATTATATCACATCTCACATCCAGTAGAAAACAGAAGCATCACTTTTCCAGACATTTCTACTATTTTGAAAAGTTGTGATCTGTAGTGCTTACCTATTTATAATCCATTTGCACTGGATTATTAATGACCATTAAAGGCAATTAACTCTATTAACCTTTATCCCTGTAAAGTCAAGAAATCCACTTGGGCATTTACATGTCCCACAAATGCTGTACAAAAAGAAGGGTAAATAAACTTGAAAGGACTCCCTAAAAACTGTAAGAATGAAAACAAACAAGCTCATGTCATGATTTGCTGGGGTTTATCCTGAAATTTCAACACTCGCCTCAAAAATTGGTGTTTTTCCAAAACCAGAAAGCCCTCTCCTCCAACACCCACAGGACAGGCATCAATCATTCTCTGTCAGACAAAGGTTTTCTTTATGTGAACTGTTGTTCAGCCCTTACCTAGTTTTTATTATAAGTTCAAAACAGAAAGAGACTGACAGCATTTCTCACCCTATAAAAATGCAAAGTAGATACTTAAGGGCATGACATTTTTTTTACATAAAACTTTCTAATCTCATTTTTGAAGGCGCATCTGTTCACTTAAACATTTCTCTGTTTCTGGAACCCAAACCATCAAACTTATGGTGAAGTCAGAGAGTGGYCTCTGAGGAATGTGATGCAAGAAATTACTCAGCTATTGTTCTGAACTTTAATTGTGCTCCGACCCATGTCATACACATAGAATACAAGAGATTTTATCAACATTAATTTGACATAATCAAAAACCACTTAAACATATTACACAGAACTCTAACTGGATTTTCCACCTATTCAAACTGACAGCACTGGTACCTCTTAAGCTCTTCCACCTCTTTTTTTTCCCCCAAGATTTCTCATTAAATACAGACTTATTTTACCACTTCAGTGATATTGGASTTTATATTAAAAAATGCCAATGGCTTGGGATACTACTATATCTACTTCATTTTTAAAGGAAAAAATCATACTATAGACAGATCAATACCTATAGTCTCCTCTATACTTACCATTATTGTTCTTGTTGTATGGCTGGATGATTCTGGAAAATAAAAGAAACACAGCCTATTAGTGTTGTCTTTATCCACAAAAGCTCTATTTTCTGATGCTCACCCTGAAGGCCAAGATTCTGCAGTTCAGCTACAACAATGAACACATCAAAAATGCAGAGATTTCTCACAAAACGAGCATGAGACTCATCATTGGTCCTGAATATATATGGCATGCTATAATGTGCTGTTAACTGCACTCATTTTTTTGCTTAATTATCCTCTTCTGCAAGAAAATATAAAAATGGAACTGATTCATAATTCATGCTTGAAGAAGTGAGGGCTTTTTTTTCATTTTGCTTTTAACATATGGCATCACGAAGGATTAGCCCTGCAGACAAAAATACAGATAGTATCAACATAATTCCATTACTGTTCCCATTTGAAAAAAGTTTAATAAAATTAGACAACCCTTTTGCTGAGAATTTTGAGGTGGATGCTCAGTTTAAAACTAACAAAGTATATTSAGAAATGCAACATGCAGAAATGTTAACTACTCTCTCCTATATGGTCAGTCAGTCGACTGAGCTCATGGTTATATTTACTTCAATTGCAGAGCAATCACTAATAGGCCAATAATTAACATAGATTTCATCCTGCTGTTTAACTCASATTAATTTTGTTTCCCCGCCTCYCCCCTCCCCTCCAAGAACAGAAATSACACTRTCTTTGGCTTTAAAATGCTACAGTTTAGATATTGAAGACATTTTCAAAGCAGTGCACCTTCAGTTACAAAACACAAACAGTGACAAAACCTGCAAGAAAATTCACTGATGGTCTRTAAGATGCAAGATGATACTACCAGCACTCGCAGACTTGCTTAAAAATGTGGGTAGAACACATTATTGCCTATAGAAGAGGGGTTCTTAAGAAAGGGACATTTATCAACACTACATGCAGTTTGGCATAARATTGACACAATTCTGAATTAATTGAATGAGCAGTCTCAGTTCTGTGAGTGAGATAAATGCAAAATAATTACAATTTTTTTTATTATTCTTGCCTTGGTTCCAAACTGTGACTCTTTCAGGGTTTCCAACTGATGTCACTTATACAAAGAATTCTTGAGAAATTTTATTATTSTTAAAAATAGTATTAAAAAGATTAAAAGGACATAAGAAAGAACAGCTGCACATCTCTTTCTGAAAAAAAAAGATAATTACACTCTTAAACTGACATTTCTCCTTCATCTTGAGGAGTCACCTTAGCCAGCCTCAAGGTATACTATACTGAAAGTATAGTTCAACCACTGCTAGAAAAAAGGTAAGCCATTTTAAACATCTCAAACTATTTATAAACTCCAACATTCAACAGAAATTCCTGTATCTAGTCCACATTTGCAAGCCTTCATCCTTAATCAATTGTAAATAAAAAGCATTTATGTCACAAAGGTCACATTGATAGAGGTACTGTAATGTGAATACCCACCTAAAGACAACAATATTTTAGTTGTGAGCTCCTCTACCAGCCCTCTTTTCACCTCTTTTATCACACAAAAGTTATCATATATAAAAATATATTTAGGTCACCAGTCTTCCAGGTAATTTTTAAACTGGTAGTATAAAAACTAAATATTGTGACAGTCTACTGCTTCCTGATACTTTAATATATTTGGCACTCTTATAAAGTAAGGGAAGATCACAGTAGAGTGAAGAATGTTATAATCTGTTAAACTTTTAACTTCACAGTAATTTTTGTTCTTACAACTTTTTTTTTTACTTTTTTTTTTAAATATCTCCGTGAAATAACATTTCACGGCCTGAATGCTCCTAAGAAAAATTCAAGAGTCTGCATTCATGTTATYCTCCTGAATAACTGAGACAAAGGCTCATTGCATTTACAAGCCTAAATACCCAGAAACCCCAACCAACTCATCTCCAAGAGCACAATATTTCCTGAGGAATCCTAAATTTAAGGCAGAAGTATCAGGTTCAACAAAAAGAACGTGGTTTCTTGTCTCTTGAACAACAGAAGAGGTACATTACACAGCACTTTCAGTCACCCCAAAATGATCACAGCCAGAAAACAGAAATCCATACTTTTTATACTGAGCTACTTGAAACCTTCCTTCTTACTCAGAGGTGCTGCGCTTTCAGCAGCTCTACATGCCACATCTATAAAAACTATGCTTAGCCATGATTGTCCCAAAATACTCAGACACCCTCTCAGTTTCACAGACAACTGAGTGTGAGTATCTCCCTAAAATTAACTGAGGAACAACTGAATTTTCCTGGAAATTGTTAAACTGTTATTTTTGAAAAGAACCTGACAGACACTGTTAATGCAGTGCCAGCAGCTGCTAACTCCAGGATATTAGTATATAGATAACCTAATAATAGAACCCAGCAAAGAAGTGAAGAAAGATCTGTTATATTTGTAAATATCCCGGTTATATCATACAATAAATTAATTCTCTGGATTTTGCTTTTTTTTTTTTTTTTTTTTTTTTTTTTCTGTAGATACTGAAATATCATCTAAGTTGCCAAACATCAAAGACCTGAGTCTTATAAATAAAAAGGAAAATGGTTGTTTAATAAGTAGATATATTCAAAAGATCCTAGGATCTAGCAGAGCCTACTAATTAAGGTACCATTGTTACAMAATTTAAACTCTTACATTCTCTGATACACAAATATTCAGACTTTAGAACTGAGGAGACACCGATTTGTTCCAGAAAATAATTACACCCCGACTTGGCAGGTTCTGAAAAACACTTATGCATGGACACACCAGCCAATTTTGTGGAAAACTTTTAATTAAGGCAACGAAGGAAGAAAGCCCTTGCTTTAAAAGGCAGTCACGCAGCACTGAAAACCTTTACAAGAAGTCTGCACACCAATACAAACTCCAGCGCAGCTTAAGAGCATCAGAGCCCATTTTAAAACCACAAATATCTCTGGTGTTGAACAGAACAGAAAACAAAACCTTGGATTTTCACTTTTATCTGCCAAGTTCTAGAATGCCTGAGGGAATTGAAAAAATCTGGCTCGAATTTTAGTCAAACTGGCACCAGTGGACACGTGGTTTATAAATGAGTTCTCACAGCACAGGATTTTGTGCAAGACAAGGATCTCTATTTGCATCACTTCAGTGGGAAGGAAACTCCAGGACAGAGACTGATTCTGCCCTTAAGGCCAATGAAGTGCCAGTGAAGTGGATTGCTCCACTTTAAGCAGAAATGGTCAGACACCATCATCCCTGACAAGGGTTTTTAGAGMTGTGATGTGGGAGAATTACAGTAAATGCAACTTCAGTGCTGACAGAGGTTTATTATTACRGAGAAATTGATGCACCAACAGCAGAAACTGCCTAAAATGCTCTTGTGCTCTTTCTAAAACACATTTATTTGAACTCAGATAGAAAYAAGTCGTAGAAGAAATTTCCTCACATTAGAAACCACACAAAATTATCACAAAGCATTCTCCCCATACACAAGATCTTCCCTACTCCACTGCCTAAGCACTTTGTGAGGGTGCCTTCTCTATCACATTATGTACTAAAATTGCTCAGAACTATTGCTCTGCAATCACAGCTTACAAAAAATAATCAACCTRCTTGACAGTAATCATACACAGAAGCACTTTAAGTATGAGCTCCAGATCTTGAATCCAGAATCAGGAGGTAATATGCTGCTAATCCTGTTATCCAACAGACAGATTCTCTTTCTGCAGCTACAATTCTTTAAAATAATAYGAGGGGAAAGGAGTGAGTCTAGGAATTAAGCTCTGGCAATCTGCATTGTGGTTTAAATGTTAATTACAGCGCTGTCTGCTGTTTTAGGAGCTGATTCATTCTGCCAATTAGAAAMGCCAGGGTTACTGCAGTTTCACGTCACCTGTAAATTAAAATGAGAAACATTGATTCAACAGTAGGAATGGGGCACTTACCTATGAAGTGCCATTTGCTCCACCTGTGATCCCACACAATTTGCTCCTTCTAATCCCTGCTGTCACCAGTGCTGTCAGAAGCACGGGTTGCACTGATGAGTTCAGGGATACAACACTACAGTTTTTCCATAAGCATTCATGTGATCCATGGCACACTCAAAGGAGGGCATTAAAGCATGAATGTGATTCTAGTTTTGCGCTTTTTTTTTGTGAATCAACTGTAGGCAAAGAAGCTTTACAAAATCAGAGGTACATTTTTGAAAGAAAGGAAATAAATGCACAAGGAATTAATAACAGTCCCTTATTCAATTCTGTTGTACTTTCACCCCCAGAAATAATCTACATTTCTCAAGATGCAATAAACCTGAGCATTTCAGTTGAATGGAAATTGCATTCTGACTTTGGCATAACAAAAGTAATAATTATCTGTATTTATATTTTAAAAAAACCACACACCATGTTAGGAATAGTCCTTTCTCAGAGGAAACMCAAGGAAACATGGGTTTGCACAAATGCTTTTGCTCTTCCCAAGCACTCCTATGACCAAATTACACKGCTTATCTTTTTCACTGAAAAAAAMCCTGCAGTTCAAGCAGTCTTCAGGCACAGAATGGAAGACTGTCCTTTTATTTGCAATCTAAGATCAAATAATCGGAATATCACTGTAATATAAATTCAATGTACAGTTTATCACTGTAAGACCATAAATAATTTTCTCAACTTCAAGGAATTCCAGGGGGAAAAGATACTTCTATTTCTTTGGAGAAAAATATTTTCCTCCTAGTTGGTTTTTTTTTTTTTTTTTGTGGTAAGTTACAGTATCATTTGTATCAATGGGGTTGGGTTGGAAGAATGAAGACCAAACAGGGAAGTGGGGAATCATTAACTCGCTGTTTTATAATACAAAAATTTAAACAGGGGAAAAAATAACTTTAGATGTGCAGATATGAGATGCAGTAGCTCAGTTCTACAAATGATTGACAATGTGAGCAATAACGTTCTGGGGTAATTAAAGCCTGCATCATTTTCCAGACACATCATTTGGTCTCTGGAAGTTGTCACAAGTTCATTATCTTCAGTATCATCATTTGTACCTCTGCAAAAAC